TGTTACTTGAGGAATGAGGTGAAATTAGTTTGATGACGGAAGTATTTTGGAGTGGGAAGTTTTCAAAGGGTGCCTTAAATAGAATAATTATTATCTTCAGGGAAGGAGAGAAATCATTTCAAATAAAATACTTAAAGAGCTGTGAATAAAGGATAATTGTTTGGGAAAGAGAACATAGTACGTAAAAAATTCCATTTTCTCAAATTCATATTCCAAAAATATCTTTTTTTGGATACCAAACTATAATATTATATATTTTATAGTTTTTAAATCATTTTCAACATTTGTTTACTTATTTTTATGGCTATTCCGAACACCTTTCTGACACTAATAGACATCGCTGCAACTGACGTTGACTTTCTGCATCCACTGTTCGCTGCACATGCAATCCCACCCACACTTTGACTACACAGACATGCCACAACAGCAAAAGCACATATTCAGCGAAAGTTTCTAAATTATTACAAAACAAGCAGTCAAACAAACGGCAACATCAACGCCAACACCAGCCACCAGAGCAATTTGTGCCAGGAGTATCTCGTTGGGTTCGTGGGCGTTTTGTGCTAAATATATATCAGCAGCAACAACAATGGCCACCAACAACAACGATGACGACGACGAGGACAATTAAAAGCACACCTTTTGCAGTCGCCAACCTGCTCCTCAATAATTGACGAGGCCTCCGACCCGCACCCCAACCAGGTCCCAACCCTGACACCGCTGGCCCGGACAAAGTGAAAACATCGCGCGAAAATATTGCAACGTTTTAGTTTTAATTTCTGTGGGTAAAGGATAGTATTACATTGAAAAAAAGGTCCTAGCTTTTATTTTTATTTATTATTATTATTATCAAATAGAAGAATTAGAAGTTTTTATGCAGAAATATAAATTTAAATAGTTTTCCTGTCATCAAAAACTGATTATATTAACAGTGCAACTTACATTCAAAGCTATACAAAGTTAACCTTTTAAAATTAATGAATTAGTTTTTTTTGCTCTGCAAGAACTGGCAAAAAGGAATTTAACCTTAGCGCCAAGTGTTTTATTATGTAGTTTCAGTTGCTGGAATGTGTTAAGGATGCCGCACGTGTTACCGCCTTCCCGCCACTTCTCCTTTTTGTATTACTTCGTGCGCGAAATTAAGCCAAAGTTGAAGTTTTTTTTGGAGGGGTATGGTGGTTTGGAGGGTTGGGTGCTCTGTTGGGTGGGTAAAACGGATGCCAAGGCAGCGGCAGAAAGAAAAGTTGCTACCCCTCCCCGTTCACCGTTGGCAATCAAAGCGCTGAGTCAGTTAGTCAGACATATTGGATCGTGTGATGGAGGTGGGGTCAGATAAGCCAGCTTTTGGAATGGGTTCTGCTGCCAATTGCATGATAGTCGTGGCTCTGGCTTTCGGTTTTGGCCATGGCTTTAGCTAGATTCGAGACAATGTAAGCGGACGGACCACGGTTAAAGACACCTTCGAACCGAACGAACTTGGGTGCGTGACTAACGGTATTTAAAGCCGCCGGAAGCAGTTCCAATTTAAGTTGCAGCCAGGGGCTCGGCCCCGGCAAATCGGGTTGAAATATCGGGTTGGTCCGGGCCATGGCCCAAGAGCGCCAATGGGGTTGCATTCATTAAGCTGACTCAGCCATCGGTAGCAAGTTTAAAGACTCCTAATGCTGTTGATATTTCAGAGGTTATTAGAAGAGAGGAGGCAGCAGAAAAGTTTTGCTCCCCTCATTGCAAATATTAAATAGTGAGCTACAAAAATAAAGCCTCAAGGTATGGCCAATGTTTGGCTTTTGATTTCATCTTGGGTTTTTGGTTGGATGGCTAAGTAGAGATATCCATAGTTTACAGATAATAGAAACCATTTAGGAAAATAAGAGATAAAGCTATTTAATAATTAGATTATTACTTTTTGATCAATAAAATATTGTATCTTTACAAGACAAAGCACTTAATTTTGTAGATTTTCATGGTTAAGAGGGCTGAATTCCGTTTTAATTTGTTACCCAGTGTATGCCAAAGAAGGCATCAAGCAGGCCCAAAAACTCTAAGACCGAAATTCCTTTCTTGTTTTACTTTCTTCTCGCTGGCTTTTTTGGCAGAAACTAATTTAAGTGCGAGGCCAACGGCGGGGTGGCAGCCACATCATTAAGTCGAAGACGAAGGCGCAGTCGAAGCCATTTTATTTGTTTAAAATTTCATTGAAAATGCGCTCGGCAGCGTCGCGTCGCCTTGTGGCGAAATTAAAACTGCTGGTTAAGGATGAACTGGAGATGGAGATGGAGATGGAGATGCAAAGATGCAACCGCTTGCGCGAAAAACTTTATCCTGCTGGCTTTTTGTGGGCACAATCATTATACGCCCAACTTTGATTGAGGCCGGGTGCTCCATTCTCATTCTGGGTTGTTAGCCCGGCCGACCCACTGGGGGCATATTATGCCAATCCAGACTCCGTTCCGCAGACACCGCATCTCCCCGTGGAGCGCATGGTATCTGTATCTAGCCCCCTCGATAGACAACTATTTAAACAGGCTGTCGCGCAGCAAAGTTTCCCGTATGCGGGAGATCCGAGTTTTTTGGGAATCAGGGGATGTGCACTTAGAAGAAAAGGTTATCAGTTTGATTCTTTAATAATAAATAATGAGTTTGTTACAAAATGTTGGAAGAATAATTTCCAGAAGTTCTTTAAAAACAATGTTTCCAAATATTAAATTATTTATCTTTGAATGTGGTGTATTTTAATCTTTCATAAAACCCATAAAGTCCGGAAAGAACATACTTATTCTGACTTTATTTCTTTAAAAAAAAAAATAGTTCAAAAAATAGTTTCCTAATACAAAAACCATTTTTCCTAGTGCTTTGGCAACACACATAAAATTCGACATTCGGCAACTTTTAACGCACCCGCATGCATTTCAACTTGCGTCAAATTGTTGCAAATAAAACGCAGCCCCAATGGCTTCAACTTCCCATTCCCATTCCTCTTCCTGTTCCACGTGATTCCCATCACCCAAATCCATTGGAATTCTCCTGACACCCAGCGTTTGAATCAGCTCGTAATTTCTTTAATAGTTGTTCATCATTGGCGGGGTTTCCAAAGAGAGAGGGGAAGTGGTGCAGGAAGTGGGGAGTGGGTGGGTGGTACGTGTGCGCTAAGTGGTTGTTAGCATGCATTCTGTATGGTGGGTGTGGTTCAGGTAAAAATACTTGTGTTAATTTATATGGCCCCCTTCCCGCTCGGTAGTCGTTTGCATTTGGCCCCCCAAAAACGAACCGCCATATATGTGCCTCTGTGTGAGCGTTGCAGCAGATTGCGTTTGCTTGTTAAGCGCAGATTTGTCAATTAGGCTGACGTTAACTGGCACATAAAACGACGCGAAAACGGAACTTTTGATGGCCACACCGAAAACGAGAGAAAAAAGGAAGATCATTTCGTGACCACGAACAGGGTTACCCATCAAATAAAAATTACCACAATCATAAAATAGAAATTAATTAGGAATAATTACTCTGAAAATTGAGAAATATTGAGCTTATAAAAGGTGATCGCAGTTTATGGAGTTAAAGAGTCATTATCTCTAAAAGTAGAAGTAATATATACTATACTATATATAATGTTTTTCTACTCGAATAATGACTTAGGACTCAAACTAATACTACATTATGAAGTTATATAAATGAAACAAGATTTAAATTCCTAGAAATTTCCTAGAAAAATCCTCATCTTAATGCTCTTTAGAAAGCCCAGTACCGACAACGGGATTTTCAGACACGCCACGAAACTAATGCGGATTCCATAGTACCATTGATTGCGTCGAGGATGCGCCGACAATGAGAATGATATACAATATATTTAGAGGGTAAAGAGACGCGGAGTTTTTGGGGGACTTTCAGGGGCCGGATGGGAAATCCGTTTTGTTGTTTGGCGGGCATCTAATCAACCGAATTTAGTGTCATTTCAGCGCAGCGTGTGCGTGCGACATGTAAAGAAGCATTTTTGCAAGTATCAATGACAGACAGGACGCTGCGGGTGTCATCAATTTGAGTTTGTTCCGCCCCCCTCGCCATTCTCGGCCCTTTTTGCCACTGATTTGCGCTGATTTTGCAGCCGCTGCCAGAACACAAAGGTACACCGGCAAAAAAGGGTAACCCATGGAGTTGATTTAACAAAACTAATTTCTGAGCTAACAATCGTTCTTTTTTAAAGGAATTATTATAAATGTAATAAGTAATTAATAAGTGATCTTGTTTAACAATTGCCTTAAAATAAACTTTTTTTTTAAGTGCATGACAGAAGAGCACAGGGAAAAAACCATCAAATCCATCAACGGGTTGAAATTGCAACATTCAACAAAGAGCTCCCTGGCAAAAAAAAAGAAATGGGAAAAACGAAGCCAAAGGACAACATGCTGATGCTTCAGTGCTGATGGTGGGGTGTGTAAAAGGGGAGAGTGGGATGCTGATGACGTTGCCACCCGTGGAGGCTGCGTGACACGAATCCCAGGCCAAGGCGTGTCCAAAGTAGATGCCGCTTAAAAATTTAAATTGTATTTGCGGGCGCTGGGTGGCGATGATTCGGCAGGTGGTGCACACTAAATCATAGAAAAAATGTGCCAGAGATCCACTGTTCAATACCCTCTAGGAATGCCATCAGGTGTAAGGCATGTGGGACTCCTTTGAATTTCAATCGGAACTCTTAAAGCGCTGCAATGTTGGTGGTTAAATTGGAAATCAAAGTATACAGTTTTTACTTTTTCATTCAGATGTCTGTCAAATTCCCCCTGTGGTGAGTAGGTGTCTACTTGAATGTAACTTAAGACAAATAAACTAATTGATATTCGCACTAAGTTTGTTTTACAAAACACTCTTAACCTAAGATGATCAAAAGTTAAACTTGAATTTACATTCAATATTTTATGAGACTGTAAGCTGGGTATTTTTGCTATCCGCTGCAAACGTTACCCAGAGACTAATCCACTCTCCGGTTATCAGTGGCAGCCCAACTGCTATCCCGCACCCACCAAAAAAGAAGGAGAAAATAACACCATCCACCACCCCTTAACCTTAACGAGCCACAAGCGACACTCTCATACCGCCTTTGGTTCTCATGTAAAAAATTGCACATAAAAATTGCAAAGGCCTTTGCGTTTTCCTTGGCCGCCGGATGGTGGTTTTGGGTGGTTGGATGCTTGGATGCTGGGATACCGTATATACTGTCTGAAATTCAATCGTAGATTCCGGTTTCGGGGCTGGAAGACGAAAGATGGAAGCCACCCGAGCACGGGCACACCTGCTGATGAGTAAATCTTAAGTGCAATAAAGAAGGAGACGCAACAAAATCCAAAGTACGTGCAGCTGAACCCGGCCAGAGAAAACGGAGAAGAACATGGAGAGCACCGGCTAACCCGGAGGATATATTCCCGGAACCCGGAACCCGAACTGGGCGTACACTTACTTAGTGGGATTTCGGTCGTGTTCAAAGTTTGCCATTCTTTTAAGTAGTACATACGTATATGTACTACGGAATATATAAGGAGGATTTTTTTGTTTTGCTCCACTTTAACGTTAAATCGTAAATTTTGCAAAAATGAAAACTTTGAAGCGCCTACGTGACGCACTGAAGTAGATTTTGCTCCCCCTGCCCAGGTACCAGGAAAGTAGTTCGCCGTATATTCCGGGCGCAAAAGTTACGCAAAACTCGGTGGCAAGTGTTAAGTGCGTTTGGGTTTAGCCAGCCAGTAGAGACGTCTCAGTTCAGGCCCTTACCTCCCCCAGCCCCATTTCCTCCATCACCACCACGTCCACTTTCCACCCGCAGAACAGCTAGTTAGGAGAAAAGCCTTTGCCGCAGCTGAAGTTTCTGAGTTGGCAAGAAAATTGCAAAGCTATTGCATGGAAGAAGTTGCCATAACAATGACCTGAAGGAGTTTCGCAACTGTTTAAAAGGTTTTGGACCCCACGATTCCGCCGAATCGAGAGCAAAGGTCAAACGGCTTTAGCGAACTTTTACTGGGAACATTTCCCAATATTAATGTTTGAAAATACGTTAATAATTGAAGAATTATAAATTTAATTTAAAAAGTAAAGAGACTTACAGATATAGAAAACAAAACTGTAACTAAATCATCTAACTTATCCTTCTAGCTTTTGTCTTACAACTTTTTTATCATAAAACATTTACCTGTGACTTGATGAACCGACTTCCCTCCTTTGCCTTCTGAAAAAGTCTCTTTAATTTGCATAAATAAGACATCCTTCAAGTCACTATCTTCGTCTCTCACATCTCTTTTTCAGTTCTGCCATCAAAGATTTCGCATACGACATGTGGACCAAGAACCAAAAGAGTCGTAAAATTAAGCACATGCTGTATTAAATATTTACCTACTCGCCGCTCGTATCTCTCCTTTTATGTAGATTGTTAAATTTTCAAATTAAATTCCGGATATTAACGTATCCAGATCTGACCCCGGACATAAGGCTGCGAGTCTAACAAAAGCATTTTTGCATATTTACTTAAATAAAACCATTTTAACGATTTACGGCGTAAAATTTCATGCATTTCGTGTCTCGGTCTTTATGAGTGTGTCTGTGTGTGAGTGAGCTTAAGTCAACATGCATATGTGTGTGTGTGTGTGTATGTTAGAGAGCATGAAAGGCCCTTGACCAAGTAACCATAAAGCATGAAGCATGCTGCAAATAAGTAAGGCTAGACAGTCTTATGGCCAGAGAGGCGATGGCGGTGGGTTCACAGGGCCCTAGGACCTCTTAGGGGTACGGAGCCTCACTGGTCAGGATATTCTGTGAGCTATACGGTATGGATTCAAAGCCGCCTCTACCTCGTCCTTGCCTTCGTCCACTTCTCGGCCTTCCATGTTTCGAGTTTCATGTTTCGTTACGTTTGCGTTTTGAGTGGGCGGCAGATCGACCGACGGAGAGCGATAGAGATAGAGCGAATATGAGGTGGTAGGCGGTTGAAAAGTGGGTGTGGCAGGTCGGGGATGTCGCTCGTAGCAGGAAACATGAAATTTTAATAATGTTTATAATGCCAAAAGGATTTGTTAGTCGACGTCGACGCTGCACACTGAACTGCATATGCATACATGAGAGGGAAGGTTTGAAGGTTTCTGGAAGGTGTATAATGTTGTTAAAATATAAAATAAATAATTGATTGGCAAGCAAATGGCATTCACTGTTTTACATTTGAATCTAACAAATAGTACCGTTTAGCTTATTTTTAAAATAAAGTAATATTGAATTTTATACATATTCATTTTGAGATAATAACTTAACATTTTATGGCAATGTTTAAAGAGTTTGTTTTATTATTTATTAATAAATTAATGCCAGAACCTTATTCTCATTTACATCAGATAACTATATAGATCCACCCTCGCCAACACACAAGTGTGCCGTGCTGCTAAGTGTGGGTGTGCAGGGTGTGTTTACTTGAACGTACATTGCCATTAAGCGTGGTCGTCGCTGCCCCCTTCATATTCACATCCATATCCACATCCACATCCACATCCACATCCACATTCTCATCCACATTCAAGTCGATGGCCCAAAGAGGCAGCAATGACATATTGCGCTGCACAAATCCGCAAACAAACTTTATATGAGTGCCGAAGGATAAGAACAAACAAGCTGCGCTTGCAGCCTCATTGACATATATACGTATCTGGCCTTATGTATCTCTGGTATCTCGGCCGACGGCCAAAGTCCAATGATGATGACGAGTCGAGTTGTCAAAAGTGGGGCTCAGTTCAGTCCGATTCCGTTTTCGATGGATGAACCTGTTCGGCTGTGATGAACTAAGCAAACATCGAAGCCACTTGTCAAGCTGTCCGGCCCAGAATTCGTCAATATACCCCCTATAGTTAACACTGAGAACAATAATGGGACTTATATTGAATAATTTCTTATATTTTAAGGCCATTATAAGTGTAAAAACCTTAAAAAGAAAAAGCTATTGGCATTGAAAGCGAGTTCAACCGCATGATTTTAATAATTTACCGTGTTCTTAACTCTGGAACTGACCACATGGAAATATTATTAAAGCCTCGCTGGGCAGGCAGAGTGATGCAAATATCTCTCGACTTACCACCTTTTTGTTGTCTTCTGCTTATTGAAATTTCGTTTTACGACATTCGATATAAAATTTAATTAGGCAATTGCCTGGAATGCACATGGGTGGATATCCTGCTCGAACATTGTTTGGGAAGAGGGTCTGAGCCTCATTTTGTAATCCAAAGGATATCGCAGACAAAGCGGTATGGGAAATACAGTATCATTTATCGGGGTTAAAGGGTTTTGGGGAAACTGAAATATCTTTATTTTATGAGGCAGATAGAAAGGGTGCTGCAGGAATTTCAAAGGAGAGAACTGTCTGAGAAATATTGAATTAAAAAATAATAACCACGAGCTTTTAACATAATGAATTTATTTGTAAGTAACAAGAAAGTAACAGAAAGTAAGTTAATCTTAATAAAGTATAACAAGAGATATAAAATAATTAATAATAATAAATATGACTTCTACATGAAACGCAAATGTGTTTTGTTAACTGAACCACATTAAACTATTTATTTTAAATATTATTATTTGTTTTTTTTACATTTTATACTTAAATTCCTTATGAACTAAAATCTTTCTTATATTTCTAAAAAGATTCCCCTGCTCTTTCCATTTGCTCCAATTTTCGGGTTTATCTTTTTATCGACTGAGTCGAAAGCGTTAAAGTGCTGCCTTGGCATTGGCAAGTCCCCCTCGTTATCCAAAATCCCCTATTCATATTTTGCCAACTTTTCACTGCCTCATGCTCTCCGGATCCATATCCCACTCCATTTGCCAGCCTGGGTTCAAACAAAGCAATTTCCTATCTATCAGATTAAACTATAAATTTTATAAAGTTGACTGCATATTCACGGCAATCGAAACGTAACGAATTTAAATGGCCAAACAACGAGGAGCACAGCGACAGAAAGTCAAGAGGCCAAAAGGACATTGCGGAGCATTGTGGGGCACGGGGCATGTGGCGTGGGGCAATCGAAATGAAGCCCGAAGCGATTTCGAAAACTCAATGGCTTGAATTTTATGAGTTTCGGCGCTCGTCGCCAGCTTCCAGTTTTCAGTTCTCAAATCTCCGGACTCCCCGAGTCCGATTCCGCTTCCTACCCAATTTTTGGTTATTAGTTTTTCCACAGAAGGTTGTTCAGACTGCCATCTTTCCTCTTTTTTGCTTTAGACACTGAGGAAAAATACTTAAAATTTATGAATTCATTTTTTCAGCTCTTAAATGATATTTATTAATATTTAGCTTTTACTGTACTTAAATGAATAAGTTTTGATGCTTAATGAACAGAAATATATTTTAGTAACATTTTCTCCTGTACAATTTTCTCTCAGTGGAGGTCTACATTTCTCTCGCCTTGCCTTTTTTGCCTGACTTGTTGTGTTTGCTCTTGTGGCCATGCCGCGACATTATCGACTCTCGGGGACTTAATGCCGCGAGCTCTTCATTTTGTGTGTGATATTTTCGGGGAACTGGGGTTCCCGAAGGGTGGCACGTGCCCGGGCAATAACCATAACCCGGGTCAGCTAGCGATTCCCTTTCTTTATTTTTATATACATTTTTTTTTTCTTCTGGCCTTAAACAACGCTACTAATTATCGCCCAAAAAGGAAGAAAAAAACTCATTTTCTCGGCAGCATTTTGGTTCGTTCTGCCATTTAGAAAAGTTCTACATTTATTGTTGTTGTTCTGGTTGTTGTTTTCATTTTTGGCAAATTATTGCCGGTCCCTTTCAAAAATATACCATCGCCCCTCTCCCCCACACAGCGTCTTGTTTAATAAAATCGAAGTAATGTTTTCCCCCATCGCTTTTGCCTTTTTCATGAGGGGGTTGCCCCGCGCTTTGATTAGCGAAATTAGCGACAGACGCGAATTGTCGGAGAGTGTTGAGAGGAAAGTATTCGGGGTCTTTGGTATCTTTTCCACAGAAAGAGGATTTTTGGTAGCGAAGGGTGGGATTTCAAGGGGTGGATTTGTCTCCAAAAACTTGAGCGTTGAGTTAATTAGCAAAATTGTAGCAGCAGATAGCAACCGGAGAGAAGTTTTTAAAGCAATTTACAAGCGTAAATTGTAACTTTTTGACTTTTGTCTAAGTTTTAGGAATGTGTTATGGAGGAGGTCTTAGAGATGGCAGCAAAGCTTATTGGAATTCCGTTTGATAAGAGAAAGATTAATATTTGTCTTAAAAACGTATTTTTATGTTACAGCTTTAGGAATTTTATGTACTTTTAGGACTCGGCAAACCTCTTTTTCATTTCTAATGAAAACCGAAATGTTTTTTCCATATTTAAATATGCAAAAATGCTGTATAATATTATTAAATTGAAATACGATATATAAAAATATATTTAAATTGATATTAAATTGGAATATTAAACTAATACTAATGAAAATCTCTTTTCTTACAGTTTAGTTCCGCTTAGCAAGTTTTAAATTAAATTTCCTAGAAATTCCATTAATAGATTTAGTTTAAATTGCATTTCCCCCTTGACTATACTCCCCCCTTTTTTGGCCAAAGAACTTCCATCGCTAATTGCTCTACACTACGGAGGCGGTGGGCGTGGCACTGACTGGAAGCAAGACTCTTGTAATTTGTATATGATAAGTCATTGAGCTGCCGCCTAAGCGAGGGAAGTTTAAGGGGCTGCTGAAAGGGGACGGCCCAGATCGCTGGCTATTAATTTGAGCTTAGTTCTGCGGCGCTCGACAACAAAGTCAGATGAAAGCCGGCAAATTAAAGTTAAACTTGCGAAGCCAGCCACGCCCACTCAATTATGCAGAGCACACAAATACCCGTTTATCTGCAAGTGTGTGTGTGTGAGAGTGTGGTAGTGTTTGCTTTGTTGTTAAATATTTCGTTTCCGCCGGCACAAGTCGAGCTCCATTCGCCCGCTTGGTATGCAAAACGAGGCGCTGCCAGTGTCAGGACTTCAGGACTTCTCGTCCTGCGTTGGCAATAGTTGCCGCAGCCCAGGAAGAGAACTGCACAGCAGCAGCAGCAGGAGTAGCAAGAGCAGGAGCAGCCGGAGCTGCTATCCGCATTACACACAAGTGTCGGGGCATAAGTTGTTCCTGTGCTGCTGCTGCTGCTTCTGGTTCCTCTTTCCTGGCACGCACACTTGCCAAAGTCGAAAATTCAATTTCCTGTTTTTCGTGTTTGTATGTGAGCAAACCTATTTTTCAGAAACCCATTCCAAGCGCTACACTTGGAGAAAAATATAAACAAAAACTTATTTGTAATCTGTAAGCTTATGAAAGTAAGTTAGAAATAAACCAAGTCTACTCAGAGTTTTGATCAACACAATCCCATTTCAGTTGGTGAAGTAAATGGTATAGAAAACACCTTCACTATTTTTTTCCAGTGCCCTGCTACCCCTTTCTTTTCTCCGTCTGTCTTCTTGTTGTTTGTTGGTTCGCCTGGCGTTTTGCATTTTGCATTGTATTAGACGTACATTTTGCATGCCCAGCGTGAAGTGTGTGCCGTGCGAGAAGTCGAGGGAGAAATGGGTGCAAAGGGACACCGAGGAGCCCAAAGTCAGCTCGAAAGGAGCCAAGATCTGCTGCTCTGGTTGCAGCTCTCTTTCTCCGCGGGGCACACACGCGAACCACTTCCGGCCTTTGGGCCATATGCGTGCTGGTGCCCACCACCTTCTCTCCATTTGGCCCTATTCCATAACCCAGCCATACCAGCAAGTCCTGGCAACGTTTGCCAAAACAATTGTTAGCCCTTGACGCTAAAGCCAAAAGAGACCAGCAGGCGTCGCAGCACTTTTCAATGCAATTTTTGTATTAGAAATTCATTTCCACAGCAAACAAAGCGTAGGCGAAGTGGGGGAGAAGGAAATGTGGGGGCGTGGCAGCAGATGGTTGGATGTCCTGGCAAGCGGATGCATTGCTATCAGCACGTCTGGCAAACGCAAAGAGTTGTCCTCGGAGTGCAAAGAGTTGTCGTGGATTTAAATTTACTCATGTCATCCATAACAGGAAACGTGGGAAGGGTGACAAAAGTCTCACACACCCAGGAAAAATATTTATTTTATTTTAGCCAATATTAGTACAAGTACTAGACATGTAGACTTCTGGTGTTCTTAGATATAAATGTATACTAAGATCAAAGAATCGATAGAAAGACAGATGTGCTGTTGAAAATAAGTCCATAAACAACGAATTTTGTAATCTTTATCCTTAAGAACATAAATCTCTATTTAATAAATTCCTCAAGGTTTTACCAAGCCAACCTTCACATGTTTATTTGCAATTAAAATCAATTTATTTTTATGGATTTGTGACATTTACTTAATAATGCCAGTCAGGTACTGGCGAAGTGGAAGTCCCAGGGAACACATGAAATGAGCGCACTCGTGCTTAAAGTTGCCGGAGTTTAGCTCTATTATTTTTTGTAATATTGGAAGATGCCGCAGGACAGGTAACTAAGGCAGTAAATGACAGTAAATGATTGAACTGGCTCGCCCCGGCCAGTGACAAAGTAAGACCGCTTACGTGACCCAAGAC